AGCCCAAGATGACAGTTTGATGTGTCCCCTCCAGGGACAGGTGACCAGTGCTGGAGATGTTCTGATTTAAGGTGGGATTAGGAACAAGATGCTTTTGGTTGCTGCCTTTTTGTTTTGTGTGTTTTCTCCAGATCTTTTGAATAAAAGAGGCCACACTTGAGGATGAGGAAACATTTTGGCTACAAACAGGCTGAAGCCATTCGAGAAAGACCATGGGTGAAGCTGTGTGGGGGGACAGCTGCGGTGGTGTCCCCACTGTCACTGCAGACCTGGTGACCCTGCAGACCCTGCGCACACACGGACCCATCTTCCTGCAGCTGGAGTCTGGGGGAGCCCAGGGAAGCGTGGAGACCCACCAGGAGCTGGCAGCTCAATGGAGAGAAGGTGACGAGGTGTGAGCGGGGCCAGGGGTAATGGCCACCCCCCACTCCTACAAAAGGCAGCAGGAGGGAGCGTGGGGACAGGGATGGGCGAAAGGACATGGCACATCAATGATGGAGTGACACAGCAGTTGGGAGGGCTCCTTCCAGTGGCCTCCCAGTACCTGAAGGGGCTCCAGGAAGGCTTGGGAGGGACTTTGGCCAAGGGCAGGGAGTGAGAGAACAAGGGGTGATGGCTTGAAAGTGGCAGAGGGGAGATGGAGCTGAGATGTGAGGAAGAAATTGTTGGCTGTGAGGGGGAGACAGTGTCCCAGGTTGTCCAGAGAAGCTGTGGCTGCTCCTCCCTGGAAGTGTTCTCAGCCAGGTTGGATGAGGCTTTGAGCAACCTGGTCTAGTGGAAGGTGTCCCTGCTGCTGGCAGGGGGGTTGGGACTGGATGAGCTTTAAGGTCCCTTCCAACCCAAACCAGTCTGGGATTCTGTGATTCTAAGTTGGGAGGGGACACAGCCAGGACAGGTGACCCCAGGGATATTCCACACCATATGATGTCATGGTCAGCAATAAAACTTGGGAGGAAGAAGGAAGTGAGGGGATCTTTGGAGTGATGGTGGTTTGTCATCCCTCATCTTTAATCAAGGAACATTATTAAGCTTTGCTTCTGGAACTGCCTCCCTCTTCTGAATACCAGCTCCATCACTGGTGGACAGGTTCTCCAGAGCCACGAGACATGGCACAAACCTTTGTGTCAAACCCTACGGGAACCAGCCCAAGGGATTCAGGGGAAGCATCAGCAACGTTTCAAACATGTAGTTCTTCAAACAACCCCCCTAAAATCCCCAACCAGCATTACCAATATGGGGTCTGTGTGCCCCTGGGGTGCACAACCAACCCATGAGGGGTTGGCCAAGGAGAAGCCTGTTCCTGTGGGATATGCAGCAGCTCTGCATGACTCTCCATCTCTCTGACCTGCTCTGGTCACTCAGGCTGCAGGGAGAACCCTTCCCTGCTGTCCAAACCCCTCCATCAGCATGAGCACGAGGAACATCATGGCTGGGGCTGCCCAAAGCCCAGGCTTGTCGCTTGAGAAACAAGACCAGGACCAAAAGCTGCACCCAGGATGGTAGCTACTCCTTTATTATAAATCATGCCGTTACGTCGCTCCTCCTCAGAGTTAGTATGTTAAACATTTCTCATGATATATATATATATCTCTATATAAAAAGGTGAAAATACCCCCCTCCCCTCACCAAAACGTCAGAACGGAGCATGGCACCAGGAAGGAAGAACAAATGAAGTTCCACTCAACAGCCCAACGGGATTTGCTGAGCACCAGAGAAGCTGCGATCGGCTGATGAGCGGGTAGAAATACAGATGGTAGAGTTAAGACGTGAGGGCTGGCAGGGTGGAGAGGTCTGCTCTGGGGAAGGAGGGTTGTCCACCTCCCTGCATGGTTCTGATGACCTCCAAGGGGAAGAGAACATGGCTTTGGACAAGATTTCCCATCTTTGTGATGCAGAAAGGCCTGGAAATAATAATGATAATAATAATGATAATAACAATAATGATAACAAAAAGCACATGCTTTGTAGATTTGAAATTCAGGTATCTTCCACAGGCTGTGGTGGCTCATGGAGAAGACACGTGTTGGCCCAGCTTTGGTCAGGAGATGACTTGGAGGAATTTGAAGCCTGCTCTTTTCCCATCACTGGAGGTCTCCTGGGGGCAGAGGAGCGGGTGGCACTGGGACCAGCACCCTGAGGCCACAGCAGCATGTGGCGAGGCTGCCTTTGGAGGCAAAGCACCTTTTGGAGGCAAAAGCACCTTTGGAAGTAAAGCACCTTTGGAGGCAAAGCAGCCGCGGAGGCCGTGGGGTTCGCTGGGGGGAGAGCCCTGCCAGGACCAGGCAGACAGGTCCTGAGGCACAGTTTGGCAATGGGGACACTGTGACCAAGACAGTTCTTGTCCTGCATCCTCCTTTGCTTTGCTTCCTGCAGCCTGACACGTCCTTGACGCCTGGGAAATGGCTGCAGCCCCGAGCGTGCCCCGGCCCTGACCTCGGCTCGTGCTTCGAGGTGTCTCTGGAATTAACAAATGATGGTAAGAGTGACAAGGGAGGGGGACACACACCCCCATTGAAGTAGGGGGGACACCCCCATCCAAGTAGGTTGTTAAGAGAGTTTGAGTAACCCCCCGCCCATCTCCCAGTTAAACTGGTGTCACCGCTCTGCTCACCAAGTGACCTGCCCTCTGTCCCCTGCTGTGTGTCCCAAGGTGACAGGATGTAAACCAAGAAAAACCATATTCCTGCTCCAACCCCACTCCCCACAGCAGCTCATCTTCCTCCATCGCCCAGAAGCCACCAGCCACACTTGGCACCTGAAAACCTCCTCCCTGTCTCTCCCTTAGGATCAGCAGCAGCTGAGTGTGCTCAGCCTCCCTGGG